GACTAGTGTTAAAATGTCAGCTATGCTGCTAGTTTTAAGTGTATAGAGCTCAGAAAGATAAGAAACAGCAGTATGTTGTAGGCTCAATATTAGGCTTTTCACATTCATTTCAATGCGACTTGTTTGGGGATATCCTTATGCACTTGTGTTACCATGGTAACAGATGACAGAAATCTACTTCAATATACTTATGTTCGATGTGCCATGACCTTTTTAAAATTTAATTAATGCTCATATGTTAAATTACTTTGATACAGTAGTGTCTAAAATATATACAATGTCGTTGCTAAGCTTGTTACCATGGTGTCACATAACGCATTTAAAATTTATTACAAGAATCCTGAGACCAAGCCGATCGATTTGATGCATCATATGTTTGGGTGCTTGATCCTGCTTGGACAGAAAATGGTTGAGCATTCTCAGCCAATCAGAGAGAAGCACTGTTTTCCCGCCTATCCCCACGGCTGTTGGAGACATGTAGCTGTACTCCTATTACTGAGAGAAGTCTTTAAATCTGTCCTTCAGAAGTTAAATTGGACCTGTCAAACTTCTCATCACCATTCGAAAAGTACTCCACTGATTTGAAATATTCAAAAAGCATAACTGGCAGAAGGCTTTGGTGGTTATCTGTGTGAAGTCTTGTGTGCCTAGCATTAATGTTCTAGAAGCTATGAGGAGAACATTTCAGCTATCTGTCAGCCACAGGAGCCTTTTTTATAAGAGGTTTAAATGGAGGAAAGCTGGCACAGTCCTCTTTCTGACATGTGTACCACAAAAACCGTAAAACTTACAGGAAATCCAAAGACAGCACTTCAAAGCTGACAAAGTAGCCTAACGAATTTGAGAATATCATTAGTGTACTGTAAAAGATGTGGTCGGTGGAAATTTTTGTTTCAAGATTTCATAAATCATGCAGTTAACAGTGCTCAGATGAGCTCCGAATGTTTCATCACCATTCCAAAACTGCTGCACCGATTGGAAATTTTCAAAAAGCATGACTGGCAGAAGGCTTTGTTGGTTATCTGTGTGAAGTCTTGTGTGCCTACCATTAAGGTTCTAGAAGCTATGAGGAGAACATTTCAGCTATCTGTCAGCCACAAGAGCCTTTTTATAAGAGGTTTAAATGGAGGAAAGCTGGCACAGTTCTCTTTCTGACACGTGTAGCACAAAAACCGTAAAACTTGCAGGAAAACCAAAGACAGCACTTCAAAGCTGACAAAATAACTTACTGAATTGGAGAAAATCATTGGTCTACTGTTAAAGGTGTGTTCGGTAGAAATTTTTGTTTCAAGATTTCATAAATCATGCATTAACAGTGCTCAGCTGCTCAGATGTCATTTTAGACCTCTGAAACGTCTCATCACCATTCAAAAACTGCAGCCCCGATTGGAAAAATTAAAAAGGCTTGAGTGGCAGAAGGCTTTGGTCGTTATCTGTGTGAATGTTTGTGTGCCTACTTTGAATTGTCAAGAAGCTATGATGAGAACATTTTAGCTGTCTGAAGCTGATTGGAGGAGAAAATCTCAGTTTCTTTTAACATGTTTCAATGAGACCTGGGGCTCTCCTCATTCTGGGGGCTTGTAGCGAAAGAAAGGTAACACTTACAGATAAAATGAAACTCATTCTGAAAAGCTGACAAACATTCCTACGTTTTGAGATATAATTTGTTTCGGTAGTCCAAACGGTCTGGGGGTAGTGCGGAATTTTCAGTTTAGAGTGGTGGGAAACATGTTTTAAAATTTTAATGTTCTCAAAGAAATGAACCGTACGACCTCAATGTTTAGAGTACATTCATGAATTATAGCTCAAAACTAAGGTGTATTTGTTAGCTGTAAGCCAGCATGTGTCTCATTTCGATCGGACCCACGGTTCTCTTGGGACTATGCCAGAAAAGGAGCAAGGGAGGGTCACCACTCCTATGTTTCCCCATTATAACTTTTGAGAATTTTTCTGAAAATTTCAAGTCGTACTTCAACTTCTACCTGCGATTTTTGAAAAACCGTAAAAGATATCAAGAAGCCTCTTTAATATGCTAAATAAGAAAGTCTTGTGAGTTTGTTAAACTTTGAATGAAGACTCAAAGTTAAAGGGAACCCAAAAGAGTTTTAGGTCAATAAAGTGATAGGAATTTGCTGAAAATTGACCAATCCCAATCATTTCATTGGGAACATTTTCACAGAAAACGCTTAATAACTAACAAAATTTTAAAGATATCGATGCCAAAAGTAATGGCCGGAAAGAGCTTAACGAGCTTAACATTTTGATATAAAATTGTTTAAATAGTTAAAAATTTGAAGGAGTTAAAAAGGTTCAAAAAGTGTACTGAAGCAGATTCGGAAGCGTTCATACAATTAATACAAATGTCAAATCAACAGCAATATTTACAAACATATACACAGAGTAGCAGCATTGTTGGGTTCAGGCCCGGCGTCAAGGCCGGGCCTGGGCGGGCCCGGCCCGCCCATTTGCCGATTTGGCCCGCCCAGGACAGATTACAGCACAGCATGCAAATGTATTGGCTCGAGAGGATCAACAGAGGGCGCTCTAGGTTACTAATCAACAGTTTTAGATGCAGTAGGAGAAGACGCTTTGGTACAGTAGCTTGCTAAAATGGATATCAGAGCTTGGTTTAGCAAACAGAAAAACAATGCTAGCACAAGCAGGGATGATGCATCATCAAAAAGGCCAGTGCAGCCAGAAGTTGCAGCTACAAGCGCTTCTGTTCCTCCTCTCTCCGTGCCTCCAGCACAGTCTCAGCAGGCAATTGCACCACCGAGTGGCAGCAGCACCAACATAAATCGCTGTTCAGATAACCTCGGGGTGGATAAGCCTAATCAGGTGCGCCTGGAAAATTATCCAGTTTGACTTTTCTCTGGGAAAAAAACGCAGTTTTTCTTCATCATGGTACCAAAATAGAACATGGTTGGAGTATTCAGTGAAAACAGATGCAGCATACTGTTTCCCCTGCAGACAGTTTAGTTCTCATTCCTCATCAAACTCTTTGTTACCATTTTGAATTCAGGGGTGTCTGCTGTCCGTTTTATTCAAATGTTTTAAAACGCATATTAAAGTTGAAACTGTTTTTGAACCATCTTAAATACAGGGTTGTCTGTTCTCTTTTTAGAAACAAAACACTCTAGATGTTCTAAATCTTGTTTAGAAGACCTAGGTTACACTTCTTACCAGCTGGTAGCAGTAACGCACCAAGTCAATGTTTACCCAGAAGAAGAAGCACGCAGCCAAGAAGTAGCATGCTTACCTGATGCTAACTAGTATTCGTGATGTAAACGTTATGAGAAATACGTGCAAAAAGAAGAATTTACTAAGGTATCAAGCTGCAGGGCAGGATTTGGAAGAAGACTTTTTGACTAACTACGTTATTGGAGAACATTAACTGGACGTTAGGATTGTTTTGAGATGGTGACTGTGGTGCGCAGGCGCAGCTAAGAACGGTGAGTTGCAAGTATTGGTTCAGTAAAATTGGTTACTTTGTCTTAAGTTTTGATTGCATCTTTAATTGGCATACATAGTCGGAATAAAACAATGAAGTATCTTAGCTTTTAAGTTAGTTATGTAGAACAAGTTGGTGACGCAAAACGACGGATTTGACCCGGAAGTAGATGTATGTAACGTCCACCAGACAGATTATAAACATGCAAAGGGGTTGAAAAAAACACGGTTTACTGGGCCCCCCCAGAAAAACCCACTGCCCCTCCAGGTGAAGTCCTCTGGCGCCGGGTCTGGTTGGGTTCTGTGCTGAGAGCTCTCCAACGGGCTCGCAGAGGGTCACGGAGACGCATCCAAGTTTTTGACTATATGTTGAAAGTGACGGAGACCGCAAGCTTGTGATTGGTCAGGGCGCTGCTTCCTGTAAATTTGTCAACAGCACCAGCTTTGTCCCCTCAAAAAGTTAAAAGATGTTTAGCGGCACTCTGAAATATGAGTGTTTATTCATCCGTCACTGACGAAGTACAAAGATATGCAGCAAGCATTTTATTTGTGGACGGAAAAGATGAGAAACCAGAGTTTGGAGGTGCCGATCGCATGGAGAGGTGAATGGGGACAAATTGGTTTGTTTTGAAAAGTCTCTGAAATAAACAATGTAAACACAATAGTATCATGGACCGGATATGTGACCGTAATGGTGGCAGGAAACCTCAAATTATTGTGCTACGTCTTCTGTTGTCCTGGCGGGGAATTGTTTTGCAACAATCCCCAGCTAACGAAGAAATCTGAAAGCAAAACTTCTCCGTCAATGCGTGTGTGTCTCTCCCTCACTAAGCTGATGGAGAAGTATAAATTAGGCTTTTGGGGAAATTCTACCTTCTGGGTGGCCTAGTGGTGTGAGTGCCCGCCCTGAGACTGGGAAATCAGGGTTCAAATCCCGGCAGGGTCATACCAAAGACTTTAAAATGGGACCCAATGCCTCTCAGCTTGATGCTCAGCTTTAAGGGGTTGGACTGGGGGGTAAACCACCAAATTGTTCCCAAGCACAGCCGCTGCTGCAGTTCACCACGGGTATGGGTCAAATTTGGGGATGTAATATCACCAGCATGTGATGGAATGGGGCTTTAACATTAAAGTTAAATTATCCAAAATATCTTTTACAACATTTTTAAAAACTATTGTGACTTTTAAACTAGACCTTTGGTCTCAGAATCATCATAAAAACACTGTTATGATGTGTATTTAAAAACCTGTTATGTAAAGGTGTTGGATTGAACTGATCTTAAGGTGTTCTGTTCCTCTGGATGACTGACATCCTGTCTTACTCCTGCACACTCTTTTAAATTTGAACACCGCTCTCATACTTTCTTGGTAAATCCACTGCCAACTCTAGCAAAGGGAAGGAAAAAGTAGGATGCTTCATAGATTTTTTTCCTCAGCTACATTTATCTTGCCAGATCTCTGTCACCCTTTGATGAGAAGTGGGCCAGCAGTCCACACATGTGCAGGCGGGTTTCCAAACTATTAATATTGATTACATGATCCGTTCCTAGGTTTCCACCAGTGAGTGAAGAGGCTGCTGTTGGAACCCTGGTGGGAGTCATCATGGCAGCGGCTGTCAATCAAACTATCGTGTATTCCATCGTCGGAGGCAACGGAGGGGGTGAGTGTACTCAGAGCCTTCCTGTTAGGAATCTCACTTTTACTATTTGTTGAAGATTCTTCCTGATCCAACCGGCTCCAACAACAGCTCTGGGAATACTACACAACTTTCTTGTTGTCCCTTTAAAAGCTGAAACTGTGAAACAGCTAAGCCCTTAACCTTGTACAGGAACATTCTCTTATCGCTCTGTTCTCTACAGACATTTTCTCCTTAAACGAAACAACAGGAGAGATTTTCACAGCCAGTCTGCTGGACTATGAGACCGTTCCCAAATACGTACTGAAGGTGGAGGCCAATTCCATGGAAGTGGTGTCCTCCAACCTTCGGGCTCCTACAAAGAGTAAGTGTGTTTTCTCTCAGATTATAGTGTTGATTTGTCTGACCCAGTACATAAACATAGACTAGCTGTAGCTTTATTCCTGCTTTACAGATACCAGCAGGTCGAGTTCTGTCATCTTGTCTATGAAGTTATGTTAAGCGCTGTTTTGTCTCGATGCTTAGCTGTCAGTCTCATTCTTACTGTTATATACATGCTTGTCTTCTACTAGTGTAACAATACATCCATCTACATAGATACATCAGTTATATGGTCATCGATCCAAAATGTGGAAATTGATTGAATAACTATTTATCTATCAGTGCTGCTTAATTTTTGAAGATGAAATATTTGCTGGTGTGTTTTTAGTTAGTTAAAAATTCTGTGTCATAAAGTCTAAAAAAGTCATATTCTGGTGAGAAAGTAGCTATTTTTAGAACACACATCATGCTGGCAAATCAGCATAATACTGCCATTACGGTGTGTCTTGTGAATGTGCCGTGGCAGCATGGCAATGCGGGAGTTTAGCGGTATTCGCGCTGACATGCCTGGAAGTAATATTACAGCAACACTGGACGTGTGAAAGCATATTATGCAAGAAACTGTACTAAAAAGGAAGCTGAATATGGCAGTAGGTTTTGCTTTTTGAACAGCTTTTTCACAATGGGCTAGCGGTAGAGTGTCCACCCTGAGACTGGGGAATCAGGGTTCAAAACCAGTAGTGTCATACCAAAAGACTTTAAAAATGGAACCCAGTGTCTGCCTGTTTGGCACTCAGCTTTAAAGGGTTAAACCACCAACAGTTCCCAAGCATAGCCACTGCTGCAGCTCACCGCTCCCCACGGGGATGGGTCAAATGTGGAGATGAATTTCACCAGTGTGTGAGGACTAATTGGACTTTAACTTTAGAATCTACTAATATGATAAACTGGAGTGATACAGACACCCCAGGAGCTTCTCCGTTAGAGCTGGAGCTCAGATCACCAGAGACTGCATGGGGACAGACTCCTTTAGGGGTGGCTTTGATCGTCATAAAAAGCAAGCTATGTCCAAGATGAACAGACGTCCGTGGGAGCGCAGAGACCGCCCCATACCCCCGTTATACCGTCATTGCGTAATCTTTTGTAAAAAGGACATGAACATGCCACATTACTGCCACAGTCTGACCACTTAACAACCTAAAGCTCCCTGATGCTGGCTCAGCGTTGCGACACATTGGCAGCATTGTTTTCTAAAAGCGGCTTGTATTTCTTCCATATTAATCAGATGAACCTTTACTTTGAACATTGCTTTATTTTGAGGTTCCACTGTCATGTTGATTTCCACCTGTTTCACCACATCACCAAATGTGTTCAAGAAGTTAGCGGCGTCATGGCAAGCAGAGAGATGACCGTTAATGAGGAAACCTCATCTCTCCCTGGGGAAAAGGTTGGGGTCAATTACTTGTAGTCACTAGCGGAGCAAATCAGAGCCTGGCTGGGGGCGGAGCAAATGACCTGGCCCTTAAAACCCAAATAATAAAGGTCATGATAACGTGATTTTAGTAGTGGCAGCCTGTGTATTTGGTAGCTGGGCCTTCAGGGCCAGTTTACTGACCTAATATGATGTTACAACGGTGGCGCACTGGCCAGCTGTGAATTCTGGAGAACGGTTGGTGTCCCCCCCCCCCCCCCCCTTTCTTTGAAATTGGGCATGTTAAAATAAAAAACTAGCAAAAAAGACGTGGTCATAAACAGCAGCTGCTACAGATCATTAGACAGAAGAGAGGATAATTCTGTCTGGATGTGGACTCGCTAATCAAGTTTTATACTAATAAAACAGAGAGAAGGTTGTTGAAACACTTTCTTCAGGTTTCATTAAATGTATTTTACATGCGGTTATCATCATGCAGCGCAGCTGAGTGTTTATTAAGTGCACTGAGTGAGGGGGGGGGGGGGGGGTTGAGGGAGCGTGTGACAGGATGCTGCGTAATTTAGAGATTACGCATGGATGTTTGTTCAGTGTAGTTCATAATTAAATATTATGAAGGGCATTTTGTGTATTGAGAGGGAATACCAAAGGGATCAAAAGAAACCCTGTTAAGACTCTTTCAACCCTTTACATAACAGCTGCAACTGCGCCACTACTGGCTGCAGTTCATGATCAACGACGTGTATTTATTAATTTGGTTTTATGTGTAAATAAAATAACACTCACCAAAGTTGCTGATTATTTATAGAAGAAAACCATCCTCCTCTATGCACAGGAAGACTTCAGTAACGTAGTCATGTTTAGTCTTTTTCTATAGCCATGGAGGTCAAGGCTGAGCGTCGCCTCTGGCTGAGACAAACTAGCGACGGAGTTAGGTAGCCTCTCATAATGATGGTCAGCTTCACTGAAAAAGTCCATCTTGAAAATGGAACTGAAATAATCCCTGAGACCAACACTATTTCTTCTTCTCTGTTAGCCGCCTAGTTTTCTATCTGTTGACAAGTGATGATGATGATGGTGAACAGCTGGTGATGAGTTTTACCCATAATACACCTGGAGACGATTTTGGAGATCCACCTGTAAATTTGCAGCTCATGTGAGAGTAAAAATAAAGCCAGTAATGCATTTTATTCAACATTTTACACCTACTACATCACTAAAGTCAGTCGGTCTTGTAAAGTTTTTAGCAACCATGACTCAGTCCTGACTGGGACAACCTATATAAACTGTAAATAAATCAGCATGAGAGTAATTTTTTTTAAATGGAGCTCAACCTCTTCTGAGCACAATTTATTAAGTGCATCTTTTCCAGCATGCTTGGTTGTGTCAGAGGCGGTTTTCCCTGTCATCCGCCTTGTTGCAGCGGCGAGCCTCTCCCAGGGACGAGCCCTTTCCAAGCCCGGGCCGGGGGCCCGCTGCCCCAGCCCTGCCCCTGCTTGTAATATTGTTTCATGCTGATCAGTGGATCTGAAATCGTATCTAATCAAAATGGTTTTGTGACTGGCTTCAAGAAACCAAAGAAGTCCAGTTGCCTTGATTTGAACGCTTTGGGATTACCATGACCTGGATGACTGAGAACCTTCACCAGCATTTTGACTAGATTTGAGAAATCTGCAAACATTAAATCACAGTCCACTGTACTGGTATAATACTGTATCATGATCAAACTAGAGACTTAAAACTCTGTTGTTGGATGTTTGTCCTGTAGGCCTTCACAAGTCTTGCTATTTACAATTTTTTTATTTTCCAGATTTTTTTCAAAACTTTCAAACAAGTTTTCAAAAAACGAAGGAGACCAATTAAGCTGCGTAAAGATTTCAAGATGTTTTCTTGTTTGACTGTTAAAGTGTTATTTTTGTTCACTGACACACACTGATCCTTCTGGTCAGGCCAAGATTAAATATATTGCACATCTAAGAGGAAATACAGACAACAGCATCACGTGATTTTCTGTAGAATTAGAAGTGAAGTGAAAATGGGTCTAATTAGTCTCACATTCTTTATCCTCTTGCCTTTTTTCTCCCCGTCTCATCTTTTATGCTTTTTTCTTCTGCGGTCTTCCTCCTGCCTCCTTTCAAAACAGATCCATGCTCTTCTTAATTGAAGCTCAACTTCACGGTTTCTTCTTATCTCCTTTAATTATGCTGTTTACCACATGCTGCTCCGCATTTATTTTAAAATCTTTGAAATAAAGAAATCTGCTTGGATCAAAGCAGCAAATCATTGTTGTCCTTTGCTAATCTTGAGTTTTAATAAGGAGTTTATTTAGACAAAAAACTAAATAGGTTTTTGACACCTTGGTTTCTAACCCCAGCTTCTAAACCACATCTTGTATTTACTCAGGCTATCTTTGTCCAGTGCTCAGGCTTGTTTGCTTGTGTGACATTTCTTTTTACAGCTGTACTTATGGCATAAATGCTCCTTTTGTCCTGAGCAAGTCAAAGTACGTCATAATGTGTGTTTGTGTGTTCTAGGCAACACAGCTAAGGTGGTGGTCGATATCTGGGATGAGAACGACCACCCGCCAGTGTTCACCAAGTCTCTTTACATCGGAGGAGTTACAGAAGATGCCAAAACATTCACTCCTGTCTTACAAGTTCAGGTACATTCAGAAACAGCTTTGGTTTGGAAAATGTTTAAATCTGCATTAAACTAAATGAGAAGATAATTGTACTCATGTAAAATGTAAACAACCACAAAATTACACAAAAAAGTTTCATTTTTTTAGGATTTTGGACAACTTGTTCCAAATGTTCTTGTCTAAACTGAGAATAACCTTAAACTACTATGAGCATTTTTTATTATAACACCTTTCAGGAGCCAGAAGGCATTATAGAGCCAGTCTCTTTCAAGCTCTGTTTCACATAAAGCAATGTATTTTAATGAGCCTTGATGCCACAGAAAGTCTCAAGTTAGTTTGCATGCACAAAATATGGATGTTAATATTTAACTGGGTATTTTAAGATCAAGACATTCCTGCTTCATTAGACCTTAAAGAGTGGCAGTAATAAGATAGAAAGGAGAACATGAAACTGATGTAAATTCAGGTTCATTCATTTCGACTTGTTGCACATTTCAAGTTAGGGGGAAATATAAAAGATTAAAAGCAACATGAGTTACCAGGACTACATACGATTACAGTCATCAAATCACTAAACGACCCCATATGACCTTTGCATGGAGCTAGCATCAGTCAGGAAGAAGAAGCTTTATTCAGAACACAACTTTCTTTCTTTTTTTCAGAGGTGATTGCTCCTTGCATTGATTTGCAGTGACCCCTCCCTCTAAGAGTACAAGGAGACACATCATACAGGAACTGTTAAATACACACACACACACACACACACACACACACACACACACACACTCCTGTACTGGTGTCTTTGTGTTCACATGGAGAATATGGAAACAGATGAGTGATCTGACCATGAACTCATTCATCTTAGTAATGACTCTTTCTCTACTTAAATATTCTCTGTGTAGCTCCCGACATGCACCTCCTGCTGACAATCTTATCAGGTGCTGATATGCAGTCGCTAGAGGAAGAACTGCTTTCCTGGTCCTCGTTATAAAGCATGGTTGTTCGCAAGCATCGCTGACTTTAAACATGACTAGTCAATCACCCATTTGGAGATTTAAAGCCAGTGCACGTGACTTAGAGCACGACTGTCTTGCCTTTGCTGTTAGTTTTGCTCCTGCTGGAGTTCCTCCTTGTCCCTAAGAGGAGTTTGTCACTTCCAAAACCAACAGAGCACATTAAGAGCAAATCAATTATATATATTTTCTTCCCTACTTCTGCAATAACAAAATTTGGAATAAAAAATCCATTGAGCTGTGTTCACTTAGAAGGTGATGAAATAATGCAGAGTGGGAGGAGATATGAAATTTAGCACCACATTTGTGGAAATAAAAATAATATTTGTGTTGGTTGGAGTGTTTGATTGATTGATCATACTGTAAAGTATATTATGTTTATGTTTATGTATTTAGCAGATGCTTTTGTCCAAAACGACTTACAAGTGATAATCGGCATGTTGCCCTAACAACAACTTGACATCAATCATGGAGAGAAGGGAGCAAGGAGTGGATGTTAGATGGGGGGGGTTGAGACGGGTGCAGGGAGGGTGCTAGTGAAGAAGATGCTCTCTGAAGAGCAGGGTCTTCAGGAGTTTCTTGAAAATTGAGAAGGAAGCCGCTGTTCTGGTAGTGCTTGGAAGGTCATTCCACATTTGTGGAACGATGCATGAGAAGAGTCTGGATTGTCCTGAGCGTGGTGTAGGCATTTTACCCTATTACCCCTTGTTACGACCAGTGGTGGGTGTTAAAATGACACGTCATAATACAGAGCCGTGTGCAAGTTAGTCCCTCACCTGTTTTACAATCTGAAAGTGGACAAAAATTTTTTTCTAAAATCCCTCTTCCTTTTACCCATTAAAAACAGCCTGACAAAAACTACTAAAAAAACCTTTAAAACACCAATGGAGCCAGCCATGAGACATGGGACGGATCCGGTCTCTCTTTGTGTCTTCCTCTCGCAGCTCCTCTTTTATGCTGCACTGGTGCTGATGAACGAATTGGGCCCAGGTGTGCAAACACCTGTCGGCAGTCTCCTACAGGTAGAGTCTTGAGGAGTGGAGATGACAGTTTCTTATCCCATCCCAGAACAAAAAGGCACTGGCCGTAACACCCCCAAGTTTAAGGCCTAGTCCACACGTAGCCGGGGTTTTTTGAAAACGAATACCCGCCCCTCCAAAAACTTGCATCCACACCACCGCGTTTTAAAAACAAACTCTGTCCACACATACCCGGATAAATACGTTGTTAAGGACATGCCAGACCTGTAGGCGGCAGTACTTCCCCCGTTCTTAACCTCGTCCTTCGTCTGTGGTCTTCCGCAAGGAGCAGTAATTCCGCTTGCAAAAACAAACAAGCAGAAAGCGCTTGGACAATTGATGGATCGGGTAGTGACAGAGCGCAGCTCTGAGGGCTTCGATGCCGGCTAGTGTAAACACAGGTCGCACACGTGATGTCAGCATTTTTTTTGTCGCAGAAAGTGACGTTGCGGACCTTAAAACTCCGGTTTTGTCCGTCCACACGCAGACACCCAAAACGGAGAAAACGCAGATCTTCACTTTGGCTGGAGTTTTTAAAAAGATCCGTTTTCGTGTGAAAAAACTCCGTTTTCGTGTGGATGACATGCCAAAACGTAGAAAAATATCTACGTTTTGGCAGATCCCCGGCTACGTGTGGACAGGGCCTAAGTTAGTTGCCATATTCCTCAGTTACCCCTATTTCACACTGGAGGCATTAGCGTCATGGAGCGGTACCAGAATGGTTTACTCACTGTGCGGCTGGTTTGAATCTCTCGCCGCTATAATGGATTCTATCTGAAGCAGCAACGTTCCGCACCACTGATGCTTCCGGTGTGAGGTAGAGGCTAGCTAAATGGAAAAAAAAAAACATTTTATAACCAGCCAGTCATTCTCCTAATTTGGCAGTATTCGGTTAGCTTCAACTTAGCATAAACAATGTAAGTGAATGGGAACAGCTGGCATTTTGTGAGTGAAAAAGTCATGAAAATTACTCAATAATGATTCAAATTTTTCTTGGTGACCTCATTAATCATATTGACTGTAAATGAAAACAATAATTAACACAAAGGAATAGCAGGAGCTGATTTAGATTTAGGACTATACAACAAAGCAGTGTTTTAGGCCAACGCTGCAAGGCACAAGGACACGACACAGCGACCCCAAAAGACACCAACTCCATCTGTCATGTACTCTTCCATTTTAGTGCAACTTACTCTGCTGTTCCTTCACAACAGGTCTTTAAAAATCATCTAAAAACTCACCTTTTCATCCAGGCGTTCCCTCCCTAAATGTTTCAAAAAGATGGCTTTGTTCGGGTTCACACCTTCACTTTGTTTATACTCATGATTTTATTTTCTACGTTTATCACTGCTATTGTTTTTCTGATGTTTTTATTGGTTAGAGGTATTTGCCCTGATCTTTATCATGTTGTACAGCGCTTTGTGATTTATATCTGAGAAAGGCGCTATATAAATAAACTTTTACTTACTTACTTACAAAACTGTTCTGGATAAGCCTAGTAGCCTGGTTTTAAAAATAAGATATTCTACAATTTTAACCTCTCATTTTACTTCTTACTTGAGTGATGTGCCTTTATTTATCAACATTACCACTGTGATTGGCTGACTGTGCTTAGGACCAACATGCATCATTTGCCAGAAGTCCGCGACACAAGGACAAACACGAAGAGCCTGTAAAATGTAACAGAAGTGTCAACAACTATATTTTTTGTTTTTATTTGGTGACAAAATCAGAGAGAACGTATTTTTATTCATATACACCAGTGCGGCTGTAGCCAATTTGTTCTTGTGCCAAGGAGGTGATATGGTTGATAGTTTGTTTGTTATTCTGTTTGTCATTTTGTTGTTGGCACAGCTTCTAAAAGTAGGAAAAGGATTTGCATGAAAACTTTAACAGACACGGGGCATTGCCTAGCTTAGAAGCTGTTAACTTTTAATGTAGATCTGGGCCTGTATCCATGTTTTTTTTTTCCTAGTGCAAAGTTTCACTGCAGTTGTTCATCATTTTATGATCATTGAAATCCTTATTTATTTCATGAGGCTTATGAAGAATAGCATGAATGCAGGCATGACTGTAGTGCAAGCAACTTTGTTTTTGTTGACATGACCAAGATAATTGTTCATACAAAAACCTGTCCAAAGTTTCAAAAGTCAAACTGATGTGTATCTTTATTTGTATTCATTTGGCAATCATGTTCATCTAAATTAACCTACAAATGAAGATGTAGCAATGTGATTGATGCCAAAGCTAACAGTGAGGGACTTAGAGTGACCATAGATTGTACCAGGAAGCTGGGTCACAGTTTGTTACTGCCACAACTTTCAAAGGACAGTGTTCTCTTTATAGATCAGCAGGTCATTGATAATGCCAAGCTTCTAGCTACCTTTCAGTAATAGATTTGTTTACAAATATTGTAATGTGTGTTTTGTTAGAAGTTCAGTTGTTAGTAGTTAGAGATGGACAGCTGAATGCCGTCAGATCGATCCAACATGATCCTTTAAAAAATGCCATGAATGGGTCCCAATACTTGAAATGGGAGTTGGACATTCCTAGTTTAAAGTGATGTTTCAGTAAGACATAAGCACACAGAAGATTAAATGGAAAATGAAAAGATTTATTGACACCAAAATAAAACATGTCTTTTAAACCTTTAAAAGTCTCATGAAGATTTTAGATGGAATGTTTATTTTTGCAGCCAAACACCATTAAAGACATTTTCTGCAGTTTTTCTCGAATTATATATTATATTTTCATAGAATCCTTTTATCAGAGATATTTTGAGTGTTTTTAAAGACTTTGGAGATTCTTTGGCATTGCTTTATTTAACTTTATAATTCAAGATGAACAAATGCATGTCACTCAAACCAACTTATTTCTGTTTTCCTGTCCGTATCATAGGACACCAACACTATTTCCCCCTGTATCACAGCTGCGTGTTTGATGTGCTAGGTGTCTCAGAACTCTCCTCATTTTCCTTCTGCAAAGATGCTGCAATAAATCAATGTCTGTCCAAGCGTGTCTGGGTGTGAGCTGATAGTTCGCCAGGTGACAGAATAGATTAATAGACCTCCAAACAGCTTAAAACATCACTTCACACTTTACTGCTAACTCACAGTAGAAAAGCAAGTGTTAAATGAAGTTTGGTTATATGCAGGGAATCTACAAAAAAGAGTTTGGTAGGTGAAACATGAAACGACATGAAAAGGTGAGTCCTAGTGTTCGGCTACTCAAACACCTAAATTACAGTAATGCTAATAAATACAATTATAATAATCAGATCATTAAGTTTGTCACTCTGTATGCATGATGGTTGTACTTCATGATGACAGTGATTATTATGTTAAGATTGGTGGTGGTAATAACAATAATTGGAGTATAATTGGTTTCCCAGGCTTTGGACAAAGACACGGGCAACTACAGCGCCATGCTCTACAGTCTGATCATCCCCCCTCCTCCCAACAAAGGGGACAGCAAAGACGGCTTTGTCATCGAGCCTTACAGCGGCGTTGTGAAGACGGCCATCGTGTATCGCAACATGAGGAGGTCGTATTTTAAGTTTGAAGTGGTTGCCACGGACAACTACGGTCTAGGACACAGCAGCACAGCAGAAATTGTGGTGTGTGTGTTTATTTTTGGAAACATATTGACAATTTTAAAGACCAGGTTGACTGGGAAACCATTTTTACTTGTTAGTTTTTTTAAATATGATCAGTCACTGAGTTTACATGAAGCTAAACAGGTCTTCTACCCCTATTCCCCCATTAGCCACTGATAGAAAATAGACAGGGAAGCACTCAAATTAGAAAGGCCTGACATTTGCTTGTCATAATGTCAAGCTAGCATTCATAGACTCACCTATCTTGTCTCGCAACGAGGAAAGGCATTGCTGGTTTACCATCCAGGAGAGAGCAGAGTGTATCTCGGCTAGTTGAAGCTAACTGTTAGCATTAGCAACTCCACAACATGGCAGAACTCAGGCTTGTGTTATTTGTGGAGATAAAACATCAACATTGCAAAGCAAACTGAGTCACTGGTAGAATTGTTTTGCTGTTAGCCAATCAGAGGCAAGATGTCCAAATATCAGGAAACAAGACTCCAAATCCTGCCATCCGATGCTCAACTCTGCTGTGGCTGACTTCTAGCTCCTGAAATGGGAGCGCCTGAGCTTTTTTCTTCAGAGACTGACTCACAAGGCATTCATTTATACTAGAGAAAACAGTACATGTGTGGGAAAACAAGTGAACTTTCTTTAAAAAGACTGGACTCAAATCATACACCCATTGCATGTTATTGCGAAAAACCCAAAAAACCTAGGAATTTAGATATTACTCCTTTAAATCATCTAACACATCTTTGTGCAGCTAAACAAAAAATAAACACCTAAACGCTAACTGTGTTTAGCACAAAGTTTTCAATGCGATTTTTTAGTAGCTAGCTGGGGGTCCGGGGTGTGGGCATGTGACGTCACACTGCAGTAGGTCTATATTTGATTTTTACTGTAAAAGAAATGAGAGATTTAAAAATGCAAATATTATAGGCAAAAATTAATTATACGCTTGTCTTTCCGAAAAGATTTAGTTACTTTATGGTAGAATTCCTAACTACAGTGTTATGCCCGAACGCATTCATTGAACGATTGTTTGTGAATTAGTTTGTTTTTTCCTGAACGTGAACTGAACTTGTTCGTATTTTGCCTGCCGAACGTAAAAGTGAGTGCGTTCGTCCTGCCGTGCGTGAATAGGTTTATAAATGCGTTCTTTCGCCGTTCTAGCTCCAGATCTCCACGGAGCTTTTCCGGAGCTAAAGCCTAGCTAAAACATTTTGTTAACCATAGACTTTATAAAAAAAGTAGAACCCGCAACTGCGGCCAAACATAGGCATTAGCGGTTGGTGCGGTGACTACTCTTCTATGTCTATGCTGTGTGCAGGAGTCAAAGTTCATTCAGAAAAATAGAAAAGGGACTTAACTGAAAGACAATACATTTTTTTAATGTTTTGCACTTTTAATTTTGCACTTTGAGTTTGCTACCCCAGCCTGCTTCCTATATATATATATATATATATATATATATATATATATATGTGTGTGTGTGTGTGTGTGTGTGTGTGTATATATATATATATGCTACAATAATCAAGAATTTACTGAGTTAGTGGCAATTGCTGGATCATAGAGTTCATAGTTGGTGAGAAAAGGAATTTTCTGAGTCTAGAGTCTCTGAGTCTATGCAATAAAAATGTCACATAGTGTGATTTCAGAGTGAAAATGTATATTTTAGTTGAAATGTCGATTCCCTCAACCTTATAAAATTCCAGTGAGATACTGGCTTTTGTGTCTCCAGAAATTATGATGTGCTGAGTCTGGCTTTTGGATCTAGAGGTTAATATTTTTATTCATATTTTGAATGTTTTTGTCTTGTTGATCAGGTTTCAGTTGTAAACCAGCTGGACATGCAGGTGATCGTATCGAATGTTCCTCCAACATACGTGGAGAAAAATAAAGACAAGCTCCTCAGGTAACAATTTACTATTAAAACTACATCTATTTAAGAAAATGTGGAGGGTTTTATTGATGGCTACAGCATTCTGTCTGTTTTTAATATACCTTCAACACAGTCATAGTTCAAAAGAGTTTACAAAAAAATTATTTCAGGAACAGAAGAATAGTTCTTCAGATGTTGACTAGTGTGTTTGGATTAAAACTACACAGAATCAGCATAAAACCCAAAAAAGTCATTAAAAAGCTCCTTTGCAGATAAACAGGTTGGTTTTACTTGACTTGTGCTTCTTTTTTTTTTTTGGCACTGATTTATTTGATGCTGGTTTGAGCAAATCATTAGTGTTGGACCATTCAATTTCCAGCCAGGAGGATAGAAAAAATCTCATCTGTGAAGAAGAGCTTTTGTGTTGTCTCACATCTATTGTCATGAAAAGATAAAGACAGCTAGACCAGGGGTTGTGTGTGATGACTTGCAGCAAAATGCAGCTTTTTATGGCATTAGTGTGAAAACATAATGACAACAACTGATTTTATCCAATAATAATTGTACATTTAGAAAGCATTTAATAAGGTGTGGCCAACATGGGGACATAAGAGTATATGTTATATTTAAAGAGCAAGGTGAAGTGCTGCTTGTAATTAATAAAGCACCAGATTTTTTTCTATTCATTACTCTTTTCTTAATATGATTTCTAAAATTGGAAGTCAACAAAAGGTATGTTGACAAGATAAGAAAAGTATCTAAGAAATGCAAATCCATACCAAAGCACTATATAATGTAGAATCAAAGTACCACACTTTAAGAAACTACTAGGGACACTCCGATCAACATTTCCTTTTAAGAAAATGAAACATGAAACAATTTCTGATACCTAGTCTCAGTATGATAGTTGCATGTTTTTTTTTTTGTTTGTTTTTTTGCATTTTTACATCACTTCCAGAGAGCACACCACACACTCTAACCTGTTTTAACTACAAGACAGGTGAATAAAATACACCATATTCTACAGGGGAAAAAAACATGCTAGTTTGTGGTAATTCACGACTAATTTCATTTATTTATTCATAAAGCACCTTCCACGACCTTAAGAGCCCATGGTGTTGAACACAATCTTAAAAACACATATGAAATACAGTGTGGAGCATTAAATGAAATATTAAAAAAAATAAAAACAATCATAAAAACTTTAAAGGAAGTGGATTTCACATTAAACGATCGTAAAAACATTTTCAACAAGATAAAAACAGCATGAAATGAAACTTCATCACATAAAATTGAGTCTTCAAGCAAGACCTGAAGTGATGGTGCCTGCCTAACAGGTGAAGGCAACTCATTCCAGAGCGTTGGAGCAAGAACCCAAAATGCGTGAGGTGTGCTCTAGACAACGGGGGCTTGATATGAGACAGGTGTCTCAGATTAAAAAACAACTGTTTCAAATTAAGGCCTGAGTCAGTTTTTTTCCCCAGCTTGCTGACTACTTTCTTTTCATATGGTACCAAAGGGGCAAAATCCATGTGAAAGCCACAGCCATCTAACCTGCCAGGGATGAGAATGAAATCTAAATCAAATTTCAACAGATTAAACGTCAAACAAACACAAGGTTGGGCTTCTCAAGCCTGTTTGCTGCTCCTGACAAATCAGTCCTTTGTTCTGATCCAACAGCCACTTAATGTGATGTACTATTATGGCCAATCTACCGTAAAACATTGAAAGTAAGTAAATGGGAGATGTGTAAGTTCAGCCTTTGAGACACCTGTCAAAGGCTCCTGTCATCCAGTATAATCTCAGTTCAGTTACTACAACAGTTACAGCAGCCCAGACAAAACAATTTCATCGTCTGTCCTGCAACTGGAAACTTGAACCTTTAATCTTTGTGCAAAAGAGTGAGAGTCATTCGTTAGAATGGATGTAGCTTTCCCTTTACCTGCCTCGGGATGTTTGCCTACCGATGAGCCGATTGGACCATTGAACTATCTGATGTAAAGAGTATTTCTTTCAGTGATAGATTCCCAAACCCTGCAACCTGTTATTGTTGTTTATGCCCCCAGTAGGTTTCATTTAATCCCCTCTCTGGTTCCTTCTTTTCAAAACTATCTCCTGCTATCTACAATTTTCAAAACATTATCAGCCCCACAGCAGCAGCTAAAATATGAGATATGGACTTTGCTCTGTGTTGTTCAGACTCTTACACACACTGGCTTCAATCAGCTAGTTATCTTTGGTTACAGTCTGGAAAAGTAATATAGTTAAAAAGCCAAGAAAACTTTTAAAATTAAATAGGACTTGTTTGTGTTACATGTTAAGTTTACACATATAGATGCATAGGGATGGGTACCTTTGACATTTGAATCGATCCGGTACTAATTCCCGGTACCGAATCGATACCAGTACTTAACGGTAGGGATGAGCCGGATACTCTGAAACGAGTATCCGGTACGGATAAAGCATTTTTAACGAATACGAGCATGAAACGAGTAAAACGAGTCAATATCTGTAATCGTGCTGAAGGAAAATCCTCATTGGGTAACTGACTGTCTTCACTCTCTGTGATTGGCCAGTCTCATAGAGCGCCCGCCCCTCCCTACACACAAAACTGCAGCCGACCGGGAGCACAGTCCGTCCTGTTCATTCACGCACACACAGAGACAGTAACGGATCTTGCTGTGGTTGCTTCACTGTTTCTCACGTTTCTTCAGTTTTCCCTAGGTTTTCTTCAGCTCGCCTCTTTTTCGGTTGCATATTTAAAGTGACTTTTTTCGTAACTTACCTGGTGCATTTCACAAGACAGAGCTGACGTGTTGTGTTAGTCACTACCTCCGCTCCGGTCGTTTTTTTTTAACTCCCTCTCTCTCCTTCTCTCCCTCTCTCTCTCTCTCTCTCTCTCTCTCTCTCTCTCTCTCTCTCTCTCTCACACACACTCACACACACACACACACACACACACACACACACCCACACACACACACACATTAATCAACATTGTTTAGTTTAACTTTGTGTGGGAAAATGCCAAGAACATTAAGAAAAAAATCAGTTTAACCAAATTAAAATTAAAAAATATATATAAAGTTGTGTCTGGTTCTAGCATTTCATATTTCCTAGTTCCTACTGCATGAGTTCAGATGTATTAATCCATGCACTTAAACATTAATGTTCTGATTTTATTGAAAAACTTGTTCTGTAATAGTTCCTTTACTATTGTGATCAAAAATATTTAATCTCAATTCTGAGGCTGCTCTGTAAATAGTTTTCAAATAAACAATACGCATAGCAACTTCTGATCATATCAATTTCAGACTTAAAATAATATATTGATGTAAACCATGCCCACTTCTGGATTATGCCACGCCCATTCCGAGTACAGATACAGATAATTTAGTTGGTTGAACAGATACAGATACAGATACAGATAGTGGTGTACTCGCTCATCCCTACTTAACGGTACCAATTTTCGATACTTTTGAGCGTTTAATATTTTTAATTCTCTTTTATAAATAAATATATATTTTTCTCAATATATAACAATATTTAATAAATATCACAATAAATAACATACAACTGTTTGTATTTTAACATCGTCCTTGTAGTTTTATAAGTTGATAATTAAACTGAAGCAAACATCTTTACTGTGAACTAAATTTACTGTGTATCTTCATTCCTTTTACCGTCCTTTTTCATTTGATTTTTCCTACTGGGAAATTAGAATTTCCGAGGAGAAAGCGAACGCACCATTAGATGATAACAATGGTGGCATAGGAAGCTAACATATCAAGCTAACGTTATCTTAAACTGTTTATTTAACTGCTGGAGCAGATTTAAACGATGATGCCTCACACTTAAATCGTTGTCACTGGTTTCATCTTCACCCAATCACCCGTCGCATTTAGTAAAGTGAAGCCAAACTTTAGAGCGCGTTCATGTTCTTCTAGTCAGAATTTCGGAGTTCCGAGGAGAAAGCGAACGCACCATTAGTGAAACGGAAGCTAACAAATCAAGCTAACGTTATCTTAAACATTTTATTTACCTACCGGAGCAGATTAAGATGAGGATGTCTCACTTAGATCGTTGTCGCTGGTTTCATCACGCTGGTTTCATCATCACCCAGTTACCCATCACATTTAGTGAAGTGGACCCAAGCTTTAGCTTTCGTTCTTCCAATCCAATTCCAATCCAATTTTATTTATAAAGCGCATTCACAAGGCATTACAACCAAACAAGGCGCTGTACACTAAAAATGTTGGTTAATTAAACAGGCGTTATATAAACATGTCGAACACAGATAAAAGATAAAGAGGAAATACAACAAAATTCCCAAAAATAACAGCTAAAAATCAATAAGACACAGGGTGAAATAAAAATTGGAAAAAAACATTTTACAAAGAACCTCAATAATACGGAAGTCGACAATTGTGGAGTCCATTTATAAACAGTGCAGATGTCAGTGAGGTCTATAATTATGTTGTATAAGCTAAGTTGAAGTAGTGAGTTTTCAGGCGTGATTTAAAAATACTAGCTGTTGGTGCTTGCCTCACTAGCAGTGGTAATGCGTTCCACAGCTTCAGTGCACAGACAGAGAAAGCCCTTTCTCCACGGCTTTTTAAACGTGCATTCGGAACAGCTAGGAGGAGCTTATCTTCAGACCTGAGAGCACGCGGCGGGTTGTAGTAATGGACAAGTTCACACAGATATGGAGGAGCTTGATGGTTCAAGGATTTGTAAGTGAGAAGCATAATTTTGAAGTTTATCCTGAACTTCACGGGCAACCATGCTGCTCTGTTTACAACTCGCTCGCAGCGACCGATGACATAACGCTCATGCGCAGCAGTCTAGGCAAGTTCTCGTTGTGAAGGAGGGGTACCGAAACGAGTCACCTTTTCAAATGAAGTGAATCGGTGCTCGGTCGGTACTGTGAAATTCAGTCGGTAGCTTAAAAAGTACCGAATTCGGTACCCATCCCTATATGCATACATACCTGCATACATACATACATACATACACATACATACATACATACATACATACATACATACATACATGCACACATGCATACACGCATACATACATACATACATACATACATTCATGCATACACGCATACATACATGCATACATACATTCATACATACATACATACATACATACATACATACATACATACATACATACATACATACATACATACACGCATACACACATACATACACACACACATACATACATACTTACACACAAACATACACACATACATACACTCATACATAAATACACACATACACACCATACGTACGCACATACGTACACACATACATACATACACGCATACATAAATACACACATACACACCATACGTGCACAAATACACACATACATACACACAGTTATATTTTTCTACATGTATTCATAAATGCATTTATTTTTACATAACACTATTTTACCTCAAGTAATGAGGTGTGAATTTCTATCACTAGTCTGAACATGATAGTAAATGTCAACCAGTCAGTTTCCTATAAAGAAATTCACACAAACCTTCAGGATCAGCCCAGGTTCTTCAATAAAAGGGAAAAAAAAAGTTTTTTTTTTTAATTTGTTGTCAATTCTGGCAGGATCAGTCCTCCATTCATCACTTGCATGAAATAGAAAAAATAATGTGCAGTACTGCTGTTGCCTTCTCCTCTTTTGTTTACCAAGTACCTGTTCATACATTGAGTTTGAGATCAAAGATATTTTCCCAATATAGAAAGTGTTTTCATCAGTCTGTGTCCATGTTAAATCCTCAGTATTTTGGAACGCTACGTCCAGGAGCAGATAGCAGGAGCCAAGGTTGTCGTGGAAACCATTGGGCCCCATCGGACTATTGATGGATCGGAGCAGGAAGACTACACCAAGTCGGACCTCATGATTTATGCCATTGACCCGCTGACAAACAGAGCCGTTTCTAGACAGGAGCTCTTCAAGTAAGAACAGCAGAACTACAGGAAGCTTATCGGTTGTTTGTTACCAGAATAGTGGAAAAATGTCCCTTTTTTATGAAGCCTAATTAATAACATGGACACAGTCCCAGTTTCTTTTCTTGACATTGGAGATAATGTGTCCTGATGGAGAAAAAGTTTTACACTGGGATGATTTTATCCATCATTGATTTCGACTTGGTTTTCGCAAGGTCGTGAGTTAGTCATTGAGTTTTCATGACATAACTGCACTAGTTTTATCTCTTCATGAGAAAACCTGCTTTGCTTTCTGAAGGTGCTAAAGTCAACAGTTCATATGCAGTTTCATTTACTTTCATTGACACTACATGTAGAGATGATTTATAACAGTCATACAGTGATCAGTGATGGATGTGTGACATATATATATATATATACATATATATATATAATTTCTAAAGAGAGTAATAATCTAAGCAAACTAATTAGATTTTAGTTTTTTCACCTTCTCAGTAGTGTAGAGGTAGTGTCCACACTGGGACTGGGTGATCGGGGTTGAAATCTGGTCGGGTCATAACAAAGACCTTAAAATTGGGACCCAATGCCTCTCTGCTTGATACTCAGCTTTAAGGGGTTGGGTTGGGGGTTTGTAGTTCCCGAGCACAGTCACTGCTGAAGCTCACCGATGGGTCAAATGCACAAATGTAGTTTTACCAGTGTGTAAGGATGACTTAATGGGACTTTAATTCAGACGCTGGCACTTACCGGTATTTAAAAAATAGTGGTATTTTTAGATTAGATGAAAAGCCTTGTGTTTTGACCAAATTGAGCTTGAATATGTCAAGATAAAGACATAAACAGTCCATCTTAAAAAGCAACATTGCTTTGTCCCTGATTTTGTGAAACTAACTGCAGCTTTGACATTTATACTTCTAAGGCAGGGGTTGGCAACCTGTTCCCGTCAAAGAGCCATTATTACCCGTTTCCCACAGTAAAGAAAACACTGGGAGCCACAGCAGCTGCGGCGTTGTGGGCGGGGCTTACCCTCAGACAGCAGAGAGCTGCTTTAACCAATCACAACAGGTGACAGCAGCCGGTACCGGTCGCTCGTGTATGTCAAAGTTATCTTTCATAAAAAAGATAATCAATAAAACGATTTACATAAAGTGGAACCAGAAGTTGTAGCCCGTCTCTGCCTACAATATTTTGATATTTTTCACCCTGTTGGTGGTTTTACTGAGCAGGTGCCACTTTTGTCATACGTTTCTTTTTAAAACATGTTTAGACTGTTCAGAATACAAATCCAGGCTCTGTCACGTTTGATTGTTGTAATTAAACTTTGTAGGTGGAGAAGGTCAGAAAAGGATCCGATTATTTTGTTTTCCCCTCATTTACAGTGACGGAGATAACGGCGCAGTGCGCCTGGCTCTTGTGTTAATCAAGTTTAATTTTATCTATTTTCACAAGAAAACAAAACAGCTAAAAGCAGGGCTTGTGTTGACCGGGCAGTTCCCGTATTTGACCGTTTATTTTGACGGAGAAAGAATAGAAAGAATTACCCCGACGCATGCAGACGAACTGACATTTTATTCGTCATGCACATCGCAGATGTAGCTAAATCACTCAAGAAAAGATTCCCATCTGAACATCTGAGCTGGACACTGCTCAGCGCAGCTCACTGTCAGCATGTAAAACATAAATTCCACAGCGAGCTGAAGATGTGGAGAGGGGCTTGGAGCGCGTCACAGAACCGGAGCGCATGCAGGAAGATTCCTCCGACTGAAGCGAGCATTTTCCAAACCCTGTCTTTCAGAGAGACTTGTCACTTAGAAAATGTTCCTTGATTATGAAACTTTGGCTGAATAGCGCTTGTTCCTGTCTCCAATGTGGCGACACATCCAGGAGCCTGTCTGAGGAGAGTCCCAGAATCTCACATCCTCTTCAGCTCAGAAAGCGCAGATGATTACGCACAAGCGTGATGCGTAAACCCGGTCTCACAAGACCGGGTTGGACCTGTTCAGGTTGACGCAGACACTCTTTACATTTAGAATTGGCATACAGATGTAAAATTTATGCTGTAAAATATAAAGCTTTTTATTTAAATATCCATTCATTATTTTACAAGCACAGAGAGCCGCATAAGATGGATGGAAGAGCCGCATGCGGCTCCAGAGCCGCGGATTGCCGACCCCTGTTCTAAGGAAAACAGCTTGAATCTTGGTCTTGTTTACATTGTGTTTCCCGCCTGAAGGTTCCTAGATGGAAAGCTTTTGGATATCAACAAAGAGTCCCAACCTTTTCTCCCTCCTGGCGGCCGAATTCTGGAGATCACAACCCCCGAAGTGGTGACCAGCGTTAAGAAAGCCGTGCAGAGTGTCGGCTACACTGAGGGGGCCCTCCTGGCTCTGGCAGTCATCATCATCATCTGCTGTGTTCCTGCCATACTCATTGTCATTATCACCTACAAACAGTGAGTACGGTTTGTTTATTTATTTGCACTAATGCTGACATAATAGGGCTTATGGTGCTCACCTGATTGGTGCATGTCATTGACTGAACCAAATCCACCTGATCCCATTGATAGCTATGAGATGAAGCTACTAGCAGCATGTTTGGTGATTGTGTTGCTTCGTCTTGATGGTCATTTTGAGTTGATATGAGATTCACTGCCTAATGTGCATTGATCCACAGCTGAAAACGTGCAGTCTTGTTCACGTTTCAGTAATATTTAGGCAATTTCTGAAGACCGATGAGCCTTTAAAAGTAGAATTAGATATAGGCAGAGTAATGATTACTGCATATACATATTTATCCTGTTTTAGCATATTTATTATCACCTGGCCACCTCCTGAAGTGATCTACAGTACCATTTTTTTTTTCAATTTGTTCAGTTAACCTCACTGCAGGATTATTAAATTCTCTAAAATGCACTTTCACAGCTGTGCCCGGTCATTTAAATGGGTTTAGAGCTTTTTAGTGATTTCATCTCACACAAACAACAGACAAGAGGGTTTAAGATGTGTAGAGAGAGAGAAGAGCACACAGCAGTAATCATTAGTATGATAATCACTACTATCTGTTACCAAATGACTTTAATGAAGAGCAATTGCACGACTTTGCTTGTGAATTACGATAAGTAAACTGGAGTAACAAAAGGTGCTGTGTGATTTATGCTTGAAATAATCACTAATCTGTCTCTGTCTCCCATTCACTTCATCATCTGTCGCCACCAGATTCAAAGAGTGAGTACCCCTTTTTATTCTCCCCCTGATAATATTAATATCACAACTGTCTCAGACACTTTTAACTGTGATTCATTTGTTGGCTTTCATTTTACAATAAAATAGACAAGTTAAGAAAGAGCTGTGAGGGAAGGTGGCCAATTAAAGATATGAATAATGAAGAACATCAAGTGTAGATTACAAAGACTGGTGCTTTAAATAATATGAGGGTTGATGCAAACTTGGTTTTTAAAGTTACTTAGGACCATGTGATATTTCACTTATTCTTTTGTTTTAAAACCTCAGCAGAATTGTCTAAATTTCTGTGTTTTTCTATCAGTATGGGATGCTTGTGTACATTGATGAGGAAAGTTTTCATGTAATTGATTTTAGCAAGTGGCTGCAATATAACAGAGTGAAAAATTGACAAGGATTCTGAATACTTAGTTTCTGCACCCACTGTGTGTGTGTGTGTGTGTGTGTGTGTGTGTGTGTGTGTGTGTGTATACTTTTAGTTAAATATACCATGTATGCTTGTTGCGTCAGCTTGTGCTCCTGTGATTAAAAGAAATTCTTAATTTCTGCATTTCAAAAACAAAAAGGACACAATTTAGAATTGTCTTTTTGCTTCCAAAATTAAAGTCAAAAGGTGTAAAAGGGTCTTTTAGACGGCAAAGGGTTGATTTTAATGTAAAACAAGAAATTACACTAAGATTTTTTATCTATATTTCTTCTGTAAATATGCTTTTGTTACTTTCTTCCTCTACACACAGTTTTAATTAAAAAAATTTATTTTAGCACATTCACAAACTGTACGTATATTCTCAACGTCTCCTGGGTGGGTCTAAACAATATCCATGAACTTCTATGAGCTTCAGATATTTAGTGAGGTTTTTGTGGAAGGTTCACACAGATGTTTGACACTGAGACTAAAGAAAGGTCCTTGACTTCTGCTGTGGGAGCAAATACAACATCTTAGACTAATTACAGTATTACATTTAAGAAAAGCTCACCTATAACCTCAGTTATAATAAGATTAGAAGACAGTTGAAATACAGTCATGTTCGACAGTAGAAATACTTCCTTGGAGATAAACTTTCTCATTTAGATTTGTTTTATTCTCTACATTTTACTTTATCTTAACTTTAATCCCGAAACTAGAAACCCTAATCGATCATCATGTAAAACAGATGTGTGGCTCTGATTGAGTTGAAATTTAACTTGCACTGATTTTTCATAGAGTGGAGATCATTTTCCATAAATCATTCTAAGAAATTAAATTTACAATGAAGAGACACAAAATAAGCTAAAACACCAGAATAATATGAAATTGTATAGTAAGTATAAAAAACAGAAAAAGTCAAGCTCAAATCAGCTTGAAATACAATAAAGTCAAATAAATTAAGCATTTAGAGACATTAAAAAGAGAAAATTATTAAAATCATATCTGCATTTTTTTTGTAGTTGCTTTTTGTTTCCTAATTCTAAATATTTAATGTATTATAATTAAACAGAATCTAGTGTTTTGTGCTGATTTCCCCTACTCATATTTAGAAAATTAGCATTATTATATTTATTTTTGCTAAGTTATTACAAAACAGTGTTTAAGACTAGATTAAAGAGATCATTACTGGATTTATCCTAATGCCAGACAAACTGCATGCATATTTTCCTGTTTGAAATGTTCCTTCTCTGCTGTCTGAGGTCCAGTTTTTGCTGTTCTGGTATAGTAGTTTACTCTTTCTGTTTGCTTTCTGCTGTGACCAGACGCCAAGCGGAGTGTGCCAAAACATCTCGTATCCAGATGGCTCTGCCAACAGGCAAACCTGAGGGAGGCACTGCTAACAACCTGTATGAAGAGCTGGGAGACAACGCCATGTAAGTGAAGTGTGAGAAGGGCATTTACATCAATAGGCCAAAGCAAGAGGCATTAGCTGACATTGCCAAGGCTGTTGCGATGTAAACGCTGGCAGAGTGACAGCTTTGGGATCTTTGTGGTGTCCTCCAGTCCAGTTAGTTCACCTCCTTCCATTTAAAAATTAACATGATTTCACTCCTGCATTCTTAATAATCAAACAAATGTTCATACGGCCAAAGATTAGTAGAAGTACCATGATTGCTCAGTTTTCACGCATGCTGGGTAACACCTGTGCTTTGTGGTGCAATATTGAGGGATGCTTGTGCAGAAAATATGACAAAATGTCACTATTAGGCAGCCAAAAGGACAATTCTTAAAAGAGGAAAACACGGTAACACTTTAGTTTAGGGAACACAAATTAACCAATAATTAGCTGCCAATTAATATGCATATTAGTGGACTACTAAGTCTGAATTAGTCATTATTAAGCTATTATTAGGTGCTTATTACCATTGCTGTAATTCTGACATTAACAGATCATAAATTAAGAGTTTTATCAAAATAAGCCATTCATAATGGTTTGTTAACTGAAAGTAAACGGTTTGTTGCTGATTAACGTACATACTAATTAGCTCAAATCAATATGTGGCTTTTAAAGAAGTAATTCAAGGGGAATAATTATTCTGCATTAATAACCAAAATATTGTGTTCTGGTGTTATGTAAATAAACACCAAACTCCACATGTTAATAGAACATACACAACAATCAATTAACCACTTGTAAGCAAGAATATGTTCCCTATTCTAAAGTCAGATTTTGTTCATACCTAATTACTAGTAGTTTATTATTAATCAACCAATTAATGGCAAGAATATGTTACCCCTGAATTACTTCTTTAAAAGCCGCATTTTGATTTGGGCTAATTATCATGCGCGTTAATCAGCAGCAAACCATTTACTTTCAGTTAACAAACCATAATGAACAGCTTATTATGATAAAACTCTTAAATTATGGCCAGTTAATGTTAGAATTAAAGCATTAGTAATAAGCTGTTAAGTGCTTAATAATGACTAGTTCAGACTTTGTAGTCCACTAATATGCACATTAAATGGCAGCTAATTAATGGTTAATTTGTGTTCCCTAAACTAAAGTGTCATCGAAAACACTTTATTTTCATCATCTGTCATGTTGCTATTATTTAATCAACTATTACCTATAAGAAGTGGGTTTTATAAGTCAACAAAATCATCCTGGTGAAGAAAATGGTTCCAAGTTCATCTGAACACAAATTATCTCCATATCTGTTCATTAAATCTATTTAGAGCAGCAATCTGGAGTCTACCCCCCTTTTCAGGAATTATCAATGATTTTTTTTTTTTTTTAGAAATCCATAACGGTGATATTCTTACCCTGTACCGTGATATAGGCAATGTGAAATTTACATTTTTTTGCGAAGACCTCCCACTGCGCATAGAACCCCATGCAATGTGAATTGTGTGCCATCCAGCATTAGTCAATAGCGTTAGACATTTGTTTACAAACAGATGTCAGTCACAGAGTGTGTGACTGCAATTAAGGACCTATACGCGCACACACACACACACACACACACACACACATATATATATATATAGTCAGCACGTTACAGAAAATAATGAGCTTCATCACAATATGCAAATTTTTTAGGACCTGTATATATGTGTGTGTGTGTGTGTGTGTGTGTGTGTGTGTGTGTGTGTGTGTGTGTGTGTGTGTGTGTGTGTGTGTGTGTGTGTGTGTGTGTGTATATATATACATATATATATATATATATATATATATACATATATATATATACAGTGCTCAGCATAAATGAGTACAGCCTCTTTAAAAAGTACAAATCCAATCAGTAGCTAAATGAACTAAAGAAAAAATTTGCTGAATTCTCACAAGGCTGGGTTTTATTGAACCGTTGTTTAACCCCATGACATGAAATTAAGGTTAATAATATAACTTCGATCACAAAATCTTCAGTTTTACTAAAATAGGTTGAAGCAAAAATGAATACATCCCTCAACAAAAACTACTACATCTAGTATTTTGTATGACTACCGTGATTTTCAAGGACAGCACCGAGTCTTCCAGACACTGAATTAACATGTTGGCAACATCTTGCAACGTCTATGTTTTCCCATTCTTTAATAACCTTTTTTAGAGTCTGGATGCTGGATGGAGACTGAGGCTCAACTTTCTTCAGAGTTCCCCACAGGTGCTGGATTGGGTTCAGATCAGGAGACATACTTGGTCATTCAATCACCTTCACCCTGTTCTTCTTCAGAAATGCAACAGTAGCTTTAGATCATTGTCGTGTTGGAAACGTGCACGACAACCAAGTGTACAGAGTGATGGCAGCATCTGCCCCTTCAGTATAGAGCAGTATATTGTTGAGTTCATGATACCATCAATGAAATGCAGCTCCCCAGCACCAGCAGCACTCATGCAGCCCCACATAAGGACACCATCACCATGCTTCACTATAGGCACCATGCATTTCTCTTTGAAATCCTCAACTTTACAACACCATACAGTTTTGAAACCATTAGTTCTAAAAACAGTGATCTTTGTCTCATCACCCCAGAGTCTAGAGTTCCAGAGGTCTTCATTTCTTTCAGCATGGGCCCTAGCAAATCCTAGGCATGCTTTTTTGTGCATGGTCTTTAGGAGAGACTTCCTTCATGGATGATACCCTCTGCAGTGAGCGCCGTATGGTGTCACAGGAAACAATCACTCCAGTTTGGCTTTCTGCTGCTTTAGCTAACTGCAGTGAACTTGCATGGTGATTTTCTTCAACCCTTCTCATCAGAAGACGCTCCTATCGAGATGTTAACTTCCGTGTTCAACCTGGACGTGTCTGTAAGATAGTTGTACTTCCATCTTTCTTAAATTGTTGGATCAATTTTGCTACAGTATTTTGCTGATCTTATTGTAGCCCTCCCCTTTTTGTGTAAACAAATGATTTCCTTTCTCAGATTTTGTGACATTTCTCTTCCATGTGGAGCCATTGCTGGTGGCATGAAATGGGAAGGGCTTTTCTTCTTCTTCTTCTTTGAGTCAGGCTGGACACCTAAAAAGCCATCCCCACCACCAAGCCAGCACAATCCACCACATACAACAAGCACATGAGTCCCCCCACCAGCACACACTTCATTGAACACACACACAGATCCTCCACAAAGAGGCTCACCCTACACTCATACCCTCTCCCCCATCACCAACATACGCCTCCATGGGCGTCCCTCGACCCCAAACCTCCTCAGGGGACATGTCACCAAAACCTAGAAATGCTTCTGCAGCCACAGTCACCTTGCAAACCACATCAAACTTGTTAAACGCCACATGCTTTACCCTCCACAATGCTTCTACCATAAATACCAAAAACTTCCTTTTATCCCTCACAACCACCGTACATCCCCACCACCAGTTGACAGACACCCAACACAAGGCCCCGATGCACCACCACCCCGAACCCCCACACAACGTATCACCTCAGCGTAAGAAACCTTTTGCTGTGCCTGATACTTCCCCACCTCCACTGCTGTCCTATACACCTCACAATCTCTATAAGCCGCTTGATGATTCCCACCACAATTACATCTGCGGAGAGGAAGATCACAAAGCTTGCCGTCATGTTTGCCCCCACACTGCCAACACCTCACCCCCACTGCACAGGCACTAGCCACATGACCAAAACCCTGGCACCTAATTCATCTCAAAGGAGGCTCTTCGTAGACCCTGACCGGGAAACTAAGATAGCCCAACTTGACACGAGCCAGGAGCTCCACTGTGTTAAAACTAATTAACAGCAGAGTCGACCCACATGCATCATATCCCATATGCCGAACCGCCACCACCACCTCCCCACTCATGGTGTCAACCACCTCTGACTATGTCATTAGAGACACCGTATACCACCCCCTTAACTAAACCACCAGACCGTGACTCCGAAACTTCCACACTCACTCCCAGGAATTTGTCAAGTTCTAGCACCCAGAGGTGCTGGGTCTTTGTCCTTCACATCACCACCAACAACCCACCAAACACAACCGTTGCATCAGTCACATCGCCTATCATCCCTCTCAGCTCCCTGGACACGGCCAACAAGTTAGTGGTAGCAAAACGCGCACCACCCACCACGCAAATACGGACCACACAGCCTCCCTCCTCAGTCCTCTTCTGCTTCAGCTGTGTATCCATAATCGCTGTCCAACGTGCTTTCGCTGGCTCCATGGCCCCTTTAACTGCACCCGTCACTACCGACCGAACAACCTTACCCCCTCCCTTCCTCCCCAATCCTCCCAGCCAGCTACATCTGTCCCAGTCCTCCGGAGGGCTTTTCATTGTTAGGTGCCTATGAAAGGGCATTACTTAACTGCCGGACACCTCATAAATGAATCATTAGACTCACCTGTGGATGAATGCCTGTTAATTAGAATTTTGTAGTCTTAAAGTCTCTTTCCGAAGTATTTCTCTTATTTGATGGCTCAGTCTAGTGGCTGACAAGCATATCACACTCCTGCCATTTTTTTAAGATGGCAATTTCACGTTTCTGTTTATAAATATGCTTCTTTAGCCAACAAACAGAGATAAGACACGTTGTTTTACAATTGTTATTCTCTTGTCGTGTTGTGTTTTCAAATAATTATATTTTAGAGACTTACTTGTGTGTGAAAAATTAATCAACTCTGCATCAACCGAGGTATTCCTTAAATTTGAAGCAGGTAAGCGGTAGTCTAACGCTATTAGTTATTTCTGGTCAGCGCTCAGTTTCCTATTGCACAGAGCTCTGCTGGGCAGGAGGCGTGCATAGCAACAAACAAAGGTGTATTGCTTACCTTATATCACAGTACATGTTAAGACAATCACTTTTACAGATTTCTGAAAAATCATACATCATTTCGGAAAGGGGAAAACTCCGGAAAGATACTTTATTGGGGTGTACTCATTTTTGCAACATGGGCTTGAATGGATTTGTTAGGAAAA